ACTGATTACGAAAACAATGGTTCCCAAATAGATTTCTCGAGATTGGAAATTTGCGTCAGAACTGAGGAAGATACTTATGATAAATACCTTAACGACCTTGTTACTATCCATATATAATAATCACGTGGAAATTATGTACTTGATTGTTAATTGCCAATATTACTATTAAATTAATATTTTATAATAATTATAATAATATAATATTATATATATATTATATATGGAATTGAATTAAATCATGTATGCATATGCATATATATAAACAACAATTGTTTGGTTTATTTTTACAAATATATACTTATTGGTTAATCTAATAAAGCGATATATTATATATATAATGTATGTCGCTTTATTAGATTAATTAATAAGTAGAAATTAAGGATGATGTAAATTTTGACATTTATAAAATCAAATGCATTGCGAACTTTGTATAAATGTTCATATAATTGTTAATCGATTACACAATTATGGTTTGTGATCGTTTTTATCGTGACTGATGAAAAAAACTTTTATTTCACGTTGTATTAAGTAAAATGTACATTATTGTTTATTGATTTTCGGACCAATGAGGCCATGACTTTATCATTGTGTAAAGACTATCTCCGGGACATTCGGTTGGCCAGGTTTGTCGATGTCCAAGAAGCTTGTAATCACTCTTTATTTCACCGTTTTCTACTCCATAAGCAATCAAGTTAGTCGCTGCTTGTACCGCCGCTGCTTTTGGTGTTCGGTCTAATAGGAAAAACATTAGAAAAATACATGTTACCTACATACGATACTAATAACAAATCCGTGTTATTTCTGGTATTGCTTACTTCTGTAATCTCCGATGATGCAAATTCCAATACTCTTGCTGTTGAAAGGTTTAGAATGAGCGCCTTTCTTGCCCCATCCGCGACCCTCGTACACATTTCCGTCTTCACCGACTAGGAAATTATAACCAATATCGGTCCATCCTCTGTTATTTATATGGTATCTCTTGAAATGAAATTTGATAATTGTTATGATATGCGAATACCATTATTTATTATTTATTATTTATTATTGCTTATATATTTATTATTTATTAGTACCATTATTTACTTATTATTTATAAATTTATTATTTATTAGAGCACAAAAAGAAAAGAATCACAACTTTATCTATTCTATTTTATTAAAATAGATTATACTTGTTTTGATTTAAAATATTACTTGAGTTGTATATAATACATGCGGTTGTTTGTGTACGATAATTTACAGTTTATAAAGATCCGCCGTTTAGAAAAAGTTTTGTTTTTTTTATATTAATTACCTGGAATTCTCTCACTTTTAACTGACATATAGCTTGAGTTTCGCAACCAGAGCCAACTGAATGATGAATGATTACATAAGGTGCTGGTTTTAATTTAAGATTAGATTGCGATTTAGGTGGTAAAGCGCCCCATTCTGCTCTAGAAATGATGTTTGGACTATCTGAAAAATCAGTTAAAATAAAAAATGAATGATTACGCTTTATGTAAAATACTTAGCAATGAATTATAATAAATATTTTAATTAAATCGATTAAAATTTATTTATAAAATCCAATTTAATTGTGTATTTGAAAAAGTGATTATTTTAATATATCTTTAAATATAAAATTATATTTTATTTACATCATTGCTTTCTTCTAAAGAATGAATGCGTAGATTTATAAGCTCACATGCTTCTTATATATATTTTTTAAATTTTACGCGTGAACAGAATACTTTATGTCACTCAGCCGATAATGTTGTTTTTTTTGTTCTTATATGAATATAGGAATACTAAATGAATGCTATTATAAGATAATTACATGCATGTCTCTGATTTTCACTCGTAAAACTGTAAGAACATAAGAGAATATTTATAAATTATATTGTAAAGAGTAAAAATATTTCTCACTCATAAATTGAAATTAATTTGTAGTTATCGTTTTCTGGCTTGATGATTTATTCGAAATGCAAATAATGTCACTGTATTGACGTAATAAAAGTTATCAATCTTCACACGAGATATTTCCATAATGTAATTTATCATGTCATAAATATTTTACTTTATGCAAATAAATTTAACTAGTATACTTGTCGCACAAATATATTATTAATTTATCAATTAATAACAATTAGCGTTTTCCTATGAATCATATAAGTATAATGACAGTTTCAATTTATTAAGAAAACATGAAAGGATTAGAATAAGAAACTCATTTTTATCGAAAATTAACGCCTATTTTTACAATAACTTTGTATCTTACCATGGAGTGCAATTACTGTTACGTAGAATATAAAATTAATTTCTATATTTTCTATCAATTATATTTGAAACTGTCGAAAGAAGTTATCGTTACGTGGTTCCGGGAGTATTTAGTTTCTCCGACTTTACGTGATTAGCGAGGTGGCGTTGTAAAACTGAACCAACTATTTTGTATACTTTTGTTCCTTTTTTTTTGTCTATGGTCTTCTTCGACTGTTTTTTCTCGCATTGATTTATACTTGTAAGGCCTGTGTATGTACATACGCCACGCTTTTCTTTGTGTCTATTAAACTAAATTGTCTATTTAAAGAAATATATCACTGTCTCATTATTTTTGTGCCCTGCTGGTTACGTCCATCCTCAAATCAAAACAGAAACTAATTGCAAAGATAAAAATTTTGCTATGTTTACGCAAAATATTTTTTCATAGAAACAATTTATAACACGCATTATATATAAGAAATATTTCTAAAAATTTTTATCATCACAAAGACACAAGCGAAATTCACAGGTTAAACTCGCGGTATAAATAATATATTAATTGAATTACTAGCAGCAATCTCCTGGGCGGCGATCAGTGTCACACAGATTGTCACGAAAATTAATATAGTCGTCGTCGCGATGTACATTTTGACTTGCAAACGGTACTGATACGGTTTACAACTTGATGCGCAATATATAAGCACTCTTAATTCAAGATATTGCACGGAGCACGATCTTTGACCACCATGGCCTATATACAGATGTGTACACGTGTCTATATACATGCACATTTGAAGTATTTTCCGATCAGGATTTCCCCGCAAATCTATTGACTTGAAAAAGGGGGAGAAGACTAATGGGAATAGCATGATTTTAGCATCGAGAATAGCTGCTCAAATCATTTAATTAGAATGTTGACTTATACGTATATTTACATCTTTTACGATAAAATTTGTATAATTCATAGAATTTTATTACTAAGATAATTTATTAAATAATTAAATAACTTATTTTTGTATTAACAAATGATCTCGTAACAGTTAATAATGGAAAACTTAACTATTTAACATAATTACATAAGTTTAATGTATATGTACAATTATTCAAATTAACTATTAAATGAGAAGGATTTTATGACACATTTATTTTATTATACATAAATACTGCTATATACAGAACATATTATTAAGAAATGCGAAACAATGAGACGATACATACGCATTTTAAATACGTATGAATAAAAATAATAAATATAAAGGTGCCTTTTCATGTTGACACTCGACGCTCATTTTCACCGTTAAAATAGATCACGTGATAAAAATTGACGAATAGCAAGCGTCAATTTTTGTCACGTGATCTGTTTTGGCGCTGAAAATGAGCATCGAGTGTCAGCATGAAAAGGCACCTTAAGAGACAGATTCACATGTTAATTAAAAAGAACAGGCTTTTTTTAAGGAACAATAACCATTATTAATTATAAACGTTGACCTACTATAAAATAATGCGAAATCGTTGACAAATGTGTACTAACGTTTCGATTTGTTCACGCTTTAATCAAAGCTTTGATTAGCACAAGCAGCGAAACGCACTACGAAAATTTAACTTGGACTCTTATCTCATCTAATCTTTCTGAACTTTATTCGAAAAACAGTATATGATAACGAAGTTGCGATAACATTACATCATGTACGATTATCTTATCGATTTCATGTATCCGACAAAACGATCTTTTTATGAGCATTTTCAAGAGATAATCTTGGTGATTGACTAACAGTAAATTAACTTTTTTTCAGATTTACTACCCGGAAGTATGTAAATCATCCGTCATTGTCAGTGCTGATGAGAATAATGAATGCAGTATGCAGGTCAGTTTATCAGATATATATATATATATATAAAATACATATGTAACTTTTGCAAATTTCAAAAAGCGGTTTCGTCGATATGTCAATCGTAAAATCAATTTTCTGAAAGATATATATACGATTTGTAGTAGGTAAGTCAAGTTAATTTAATCATTTCGATGTCCGTGATATTCGTGGCCATAATTAACATTATACATGTATGTTTCGTATGTATTTACATATACATATATTATAGAATAGAGTACCTGAGATGATTTTATCGGAGTAATCTATACGAAATTATGCCAAAAACAATTGTATGCGGCATCGTGCTATTTCGATTACCATTGTCGTTAATTAAACCCGAAGACCGTGACCTTAGAGCATATATTGTTGTAACGAGCATAGCCATGTAAAAGTACGATTCGCACGCGAACCAAGGTGAGAGTGACATTGATCTTGTTTGTCGAACTTGCGTGAGAGATATTTATGTCATATACTTTAGAATGTCTTGTTTGATTTTTTAACGATCTGAAACGTGTACATTACGTGTACATACATAAACTTTGAGTTTTAACTAATGATAATTTTATTGATAGCGTCTTAATTGCTATTACGTATATGTTAGTGCGGAGAGTCTAGTATACGAGGTCACTTTGTACATCGGGGAATCACCTTCGCAAGACGGAGAAAGTCGTTATCTTTTTTTATTTAAACGACTGTTCACGGTAGCGAAAATATTTCGTAACGATAGTAGTTAAGAGGTAGCAACGGTTATATGCAATACCTACAGCATAACGAAAGTACTATTGTACATACATAATATAAAACTAAGTTTTGCTTATTAAAATTAAATAATCTAAACGGATTTTTAAAAACTAGTGACATAATCACGCAAATCTCTATCAGACTCTTTTTACTGAGAAAAGAAACAGAATATACGGCAGGTTGACGTAAAATACGACTGTAAGACCGGTATTTATAGTCGATTCTTATATTTAAGACCGATATAAGTACATCTTAAGATGTCATAAATCAAAAGCCGTATTAGCATTTTAAGATATTACTTAAGATGATCTATGTTTGTTCTTAAAATAAGAATAGATTATGAATACTGCGGCCTAAGTATTCTTTTTAATAGAAAGAACGGTTTCTCTAGATTCAAATCTGAAAATAATTTTGTTTGAATCATTAAAGTAATTATATAGGAGTATACGATGTTCAAGCTGATTGCTAGAATATCAAAACATTTTGCAGCATTTTTCATTATGCTTAAGTTTCCTACATAATTATTTTGATAGTTCTTAACAAAATTATTTTCAAATCTGTATTTATACCTAATTTTTAGAAACTTCAATAAAATCGTTCTTTCTGTATAAAAATAAAATAATTTTGTGATACTTACAATTCTTTGTTACATTAATTAAGATTCGTTATAATTTCGATCGATATATATTTGACAAAAATTGCCATCATAGGATAACGTCCGCTTTGCTATTTTCCTCTACGATGTTATCTATCGGCTTTGTTGTGGTGGTTGTACGTATGTGAGGTATTGGATTTGCAGTCCAACGGGGAAGGTTAACTACGTGCCTGTAAAAACTTTCGCCAGGGCATACCGTGTCTCGCACTTGTCGATGACCAATCACGTTGTAGTTATTTCTTATCTTGCCGAGTGAAACTCCGCAATCTATCAGCTTCTTCAATGCTTTCAGGGCGGCCTCGTTCGGAAGAAAGTCTGCGAAATCATACATTTACATGCGTCATAATAATTCCTTTGACGCAGAAGACGATACGATATCTTAAAGAAGATGCCTCGCATATTGTTTTATATAATTAAAAGATTAATTTTTCTAGTAAAATCAACTTGAAATGGCACTCTTGAATTTTTAAGTATAAATAACTTGTCCTGAATTTATATGCAATTTAATACTTTTTAATGTAGTACAAAAAAGACTGATATAAAAATAAGAATCTTTTCCAATGAAAAACACTTGACTTGATCGTTGTTTACAATCATTCTTAACGATTTTTTTTTTAATGATTAATCTTTTCTCGATAGAATGTTATTTGATTTACACAGAAAGAATTTTGCTCAAGTATTAAAAAATGTTGCTAAATATAGATCTAAAAATAATTTTATTGGACTATTAAAATAATTATGTGGAATTCTTAGGCTGATTGTTAGAATGTCAACATTTTTTTGCAGTGTTGCTCAATAATGTTAAATGTCCTATATAATTATTTTAGTAATTTAACAAAATTATTTTCAAAATTATGTCTGAATTTTTTAGATATTTCAGCAGGATGGTTCTTTATATGTATTATATTTTGTATACATCGCTATACATTAATTATATTTGTAATGTCTTGATTACCGCTGAAATCTCCTATGATGCATATGCCAATACTCTGGGTGTTATATCCAATTGCATGCGCGCCAGTATAATGCCAACCGCGACCCTTGTAAACGTTACCGTCTTCGCCAATGATGAAATTATATCCAATATCCCACCAGCCCCGTTCATCCAGATGCAGATCTTGATAGTCTTTAACGAGTTTAGAGCACGACTCCTGATCCTGACAGTACTTAGGTATACCTCCGTGATGGACCACCACGTATGGTACTGGTCTTATTGGCATAATTTCGAAATTGAGATGATCCCTGGCATTCCATTCCTCTCGACTAACAATTCTCGGGCATTTCTCTGGAAAATCGAAAATCTATCTATTATTTTTAATAAATTATTTTTGAATTAAATTAACTCTTCGAAAGTTGAATGATCTTAAAAGGCGGATAGAAATATTAATGCGTAAACTATTGTGCGCAATTGCATTATAGATCCTTGATAATAATAATAATAACGATATAAAGAATTACAGGTTTCCTGCATTGTCACGTGGAACAAGTAACGTAGAACTTGGCAGATATAAATTGAGTCAACTAACGAGTTAGCACAAGCAAGCACATTTTCAGCAATTAGTTGCATAATTGCAAATATACTTCTATCGTGCAGAAATTATTTTGTCCTTGAGATACGATGATAGATTGCCCAATCTGATTCCCAAGTTGTAAAATACAATAATTCCGGCTCAGACGTGTTCTGCAGATGTGGAAAACTTGGGAAAAATACTAACTAGAGTCATCAAAACACTTTTGTCACGAGGAATGCAAATTATTTGTTTACTGTATCGCACGTTTTATCTTCAACAATTTTATTTTTTTTTTAATACATGTCCAATTGCGCAAATCAACTTATCAGTATCATACTATACGGTTTAACAGGGCGGAAAATATAAAATTGTAACTTTAAAAAGTGAGTTATTATATTTTCTCTTATACGAGCATACTGTAACAATTTCCAAATATGGTATGGTTGATTATTTATGTAGAATAATTTTCGCGATATTGCACAAACTGATATCGTAGTACGCTATCATACTATTTTAGATATAAACAACTGATGCACTTTAACTTTGTATTGAGCGTCGTAACACCGGTAGAAAACTAACATATTACTTAGACCTTAGACAGTAACGCCACTAGTTATTAACAGTTCCGTTGTAAATGTAGCTATTTTAGCAAAAGTTGCGTAGTTATGTTGAACCAAGTATTTATTATCATTATTTTTATTATCATATCTAAACTTGGACTTCATTATGATGATTAAATACTTTAGTTTGCACAAATGTCTTACAATAGTCAAGGTTACGTCAGTAAAACTTAATTTGGAAGCTCGTAGATCTCTTTGAGCTCATCAAGGACGGAATAAAAATTAAATAAAAATTAATTTGTTACGGATGTTTATAATATTTTTTATTACATATTTACATAAATAAAAAGTATACGTAGGAAATGTAAATATAGCAATCTCGTTATCGAAAACTGACCGAAATAATTATAAGATACATTTTCGTTTTAAGAGACTTTTTTGCATATATAAAGAATAATCGAAAAAGAATAAGACATTAAAGACTTGATATAAGAGAACTATAAAAAACACGAATAATATTTATAAAAATCTACTTTGTTGTAGATAATTGGAGATGGTGATTGTGTATATCCAAGGACATATGTACCTTGACACACTAATTATTTTTAACAATGAAATTTTTTAAATTGGCATTCAGTTATGTTACTTCAATCGAAAAATAATATAACTGAACGGACAACATATTAAAAATCACATTATTATTAAAAAAATAATTAATGTATCCCAAAGTACATTAATTATTCCTAGACATATCACAGTTTCCTCCACTTGTGTATTATAAATGTATTATAAATAATATAAGGAAATTATTTTTTAAACTTGTTATATATATTACAAATCTTCTTATAAATTTCTACTGTGTAACCCACAATATTAGTAATATAGCGCAATTTTTTTTGCCACGTAGAAGAATTATATAAATCTAAAAATATGATATATATATTTTTTATACCAAAATCTTCGATTTCGATATAAAATTTCGAGTGGCTTACCGTCTTGATGAAATTCGTACATTGATGCCGTTGCATTGATTGTCTTGATGAAATTTGTGTTGTCAATGGGAATGGCGAGCACCGCATGCTCGAAGACACTAAAGAGGAATATGAAAACATATAATGCCGATAAGTGAATGAAACAGGAGGACAACCTCATCATAATGATTGACACCGTTACAGCGCGTGTCAAAAGTAAAACTGGATAGCCATCATGATACCGCGTCCGCTTTTAAATGAAAATCCGAACGGCGCGGCAGCCGGGAAGTCCCCTTGGATAAAGAGTAGCGCATCGAGAACCAACCCATTTGATAGTCCCTTAACCCTGTCCCCTCTTCAACGTGTTTGCAACAGTGACTACAATATTGATAATGACGACGACTTCGAGGAGGCGTGACATTTGTCCGAGTATCTTGTATTCTGAAAATTCGCACAATTACATCATTCTGCGCAGAAGAAAGTAAAATTACGCTGTCTGTCTATGCGATAAGAAATCGAATATGATAAATTGAAATTAATGAGATTGACAAAGTGAGTGAAAAACGGTGCGACAAAAAATACATAAAAATAATTACGTAAAAAAAAAAGTAGCACGGTGGAAAAAAATTTCCTAATAGTAATCGACTTAATTTTTCATCAGGCATAACGCTATATAAATACTGGGCGGTATTTTGGAAACACCCTGTATAAACATACATAGAAAGAGATTGGAGATAGAAAAGTGCTAAAAAAGTTGATAAAATAAGCAATCAAGAAATATGCAAATAATTTTTGTCTAGAAGAAAAGATCATCTTTCTTTAACTTAAGCGTAATATTTATAACACGGTTATTTATAGATTAATGTTTATTTTTTCTACCAATGTAGATTAACTTTAATGTCAGTTTAATTTACTCTTTGCCTTTTTCTAAATTTAGAACTAGAAAAAGATAAAAATAAGAAAAACTGCTTAAAATTAACCTACTTAATAAAAATTAATATGAAAGTACTGATGTCAGGTTTAGGATTACTTGTAGGTATATGACAGAGAAAAAAAAGAAAATTATGAAGTTTTGATACAGTTTATTCTATTTATAAATTAATTTTCTTATTATAATACAATTTCTTACGTTTTTTTTTCTAAGCTCAATTAGCGATTACATTATATGTACGTATTCGCACGGTCTTATCAAATGGATAGTGCGTTTCCGATAAGTAACGGTATATCTATAGAAGTTACATAACTAATCGATATAGCGCACAGAACACAAAATTGATCTACTTAATGAATCAGCCTTCCGATTATTCTCTTTATTCTCATCATTTCGATTAGTAATTCAGAATTTTTTGGTAAACTACAATTTTTAACATACAGTTTATTAAAATCTCTATTTCTATATATGGATAATATTAATAATTTGATATTTTTATGCGCATTTGAATATTTAATCTACTTATAATTTGACATATAATATAATAATATATTTGTCTCTTCATAATAATATATTTATTTGTTATTCATAAGAATGCATCGAACGATCGATGCAATTCGTATAAATGGAACTACACTATCTCAAATTGGTTCTATTGAATCTGATGTAATCTGGTTTATGATTCAAGTGTACAAGCAGTGAGAGAGATATACATATATATACGTTTTTTCTTCTAGTATTATATTGTCCGTAATTTCACGGAAAATAAAATCATAGCTGCTAAAATGTGAAAATAATTAAAATAAACAAAGACAGTGTTTTGCATTCGATGACAATCACTTCATCGAATTATAGTAAACAAAATACATGTCGTTCATGCATTTTTGTTTTGTTTCTGCTGGGAATAACGACGTTAACGTATAACGAAGCGGCACATCGTGTTCGTAAGTGTGTAATTTCGAGATAACACTTTATTCACGAAAAGCGTCGAATGACCTTTGTTGACTTGTCATAACTGTTGACTAATTGTTTCCTGCGATCGTTTGTCATTGGCGTAATTCTTAAATACTATGCTGCGTATCGAGTTTCTCTTGAAAGAACGAATTCTGTTTCCTATATAGATAAGAATATAAAGTATTAATAAACTCATTGCGATATGCTGCAGAACTTATCTCGAGATCCATAAATGCACTAAACAATATGCATATAATTCTACGAAAAATAGGTGATAGCGCTGATGCAACATCTGATTACTAAAAAAAAAAAAAAAGTAGAAATTATTTTAATAATCATGATAAAATCGCGATTATTGACGTATAGTCATGAACAATGTCGACATTGCCAAAGTAGTAAAAAATAATGGACGAAGATATTTTTTTGTAGTATGAAAACGAATAAGAACGCCTTATAATATAATTTAACAAACGAACTATAAAATTCTTTTGGAAATAATATATTGAAATAAGGGCAATGAGCCAATTTTCATTAAAATCTTTCTTAAAATCAATCTAATATATTGCGAAGAATATCACGTAATGTTGGCGTTTCGTCCCGGCTTCCACTACTGGACTCATCAGTAAGGTATTGTAATGGAAGCCTACCTTAGACGCCTGTTTTAGTTATTAAATCGAGATTCTATATATACAGAAATAAGCGTATCAAAGCACTTACGAGAATCTTAACGAATATCTATAGACCTCTGATGGCGGGTCGACGTAGTAATATTCTTCGCAATATATTCTTTTGGAAATATTTTTAATCCATAGTTTCTTATGAATGACAAAATTATTATCGGGAATCATTGTTATCAGGAATATGATATCAACGATTAAGTTGGCAATGAAAAAAATAATATCGATGTAATGAATAGCTTTTGAGACTCGAGTGGTTCACCGCTCGGTGCGAGTGGTACTCGTGATCTATAGACCTGAGTTTAAATCCCACCTGAGCCCAAACGCGATTTTTCGCGTTCAAGGAGTCGAAAATGGTTCCACCTGGTAATTCAAAAGATCTATGATTATCAGTGCCGTTTAGATTCGACGTTAAATTGTAGGTCCTATATGTCAGTAGATACATATGCTCTAATATCTGAGTAAGATAGGATTCTGTGGATCAATAATAACCAGCAAATCCGAAAAACAACCTGATTCAAGAAACGAATATATTTTGTCTCGGACAAAAGTGGAAGAGACCTGTAGACGTTCTATGCTCCAAATGAGGAGATAAAAGGGTCATCATCGTCATCAAATAATGAATGACTTTTATTCGAAAAATTATCTGATTTTTTTTGGGACAGAGGCATCGATTCGGAATTTCATCATGTGTGGAGGTGGGAGTTGGCGTGAGCGAACTGCAATCAAAAAAAAATTCTCGCAAAATATGTATACAAACACACACTGCTGTAAAAAATTATTAGTTTTTTTTTAAGAGAGTACGTGATTTTCATACTTTGTCGTACTGTTTGACGAAGAAAGTCTGAAATTGTTATCTGGATGAAATAAATTTGTAATTTGAGGAAATTCACTTCTTACAACAACTCTCTGTTGCACTCTCATCTGCTCTTTATTAATGGAATTTCTGGTTTTAATTTTCGAGAGTCCACAAGGACAATTAAATTATTTGGTTAAATTAATTGTAACGATTATAATAAAATAAATGTGTGAAGGAAAATAAACATATAAAACATAAATTTAAATATTTTCTGTTCATATAAGATTAATTATATAACATTTTTGTATTGTATAACGTAAATATTCCGTCGAATATTAATCCATATTTGAAATCTGTTTCTTTATTAAAAGAAGATTTTTTATACTTTGAAAAATCGCACATTTTATTTGATATTCCACGTTTAAATTTGAAGTCTTCCAATTTTCGTGATAATGTTCTTAAACTAGTGAATGGCCATCATGAGCGACAACAATCGTGCATGAGCACATCCAGAGAAATTAGGTTAGGTTTAAAGAAGAAAAAGGATGAATATATATTTTCTCGTAGGATTTTGCCCACTTGCTTTATGGCAAGATTCTGATTGAGGGTCTCTTTTTGGACATTAGTAAAATACTGATCGAGGAGTGAAAACGGCAACCGCCGATCGAGTTGTAAACATACGACTTTTCACATTTAGTTTAATCAACTTTCATTTTTATAATAAAATATTAAATAATAAATTATTTCGTCAAGAAATAATTTTTATATTCTTCGGATTTTCAAGTGTGGAATTCCACACATGGAAAAATTTCAAGTGCGGAGTACTCCACATCAAAACCACACTTTAGTCTATTGTCCATATTTTGGGGCAATGATAAGCTTCTTCAGAATTTTATTACGTATACGATATCATTGTAATAAAAATGAGACAACGTAATTCTTCCTTTTTCTTGTAGAAATAAATTGATTAAATATGTTGGTCTTAAATATATTATTTTACAAACGCATACAACATATATTACAATAAAATAAATTTTTTGAATAAACAACAAACAATAAATCTTTAATAGCAGTTATTGTAGTTTATACAAAAATAATTTAAATTTTGATTTAAAATTTAATGGAATCTCTCTCTCTCTCTCCCCAATGGATTGACATTAAATCAAGTTGCTCGAATATTATATTGTAAGATATTAATTTTTTTAAACTGCGAAGTATATTATTCAATATAATTATATAATAATGTTGGAATGCGAATGTAGAAATTGCACGACTCTGTATCAGATGTCGTAATTCTCCAAGCAAGTCGAGTTCGAGAAGCTATTCAGCAGTTTTCTGACTTACCATCGCAGATATATTGAAACGTTAGTTGGCACAGAAAGGAACCTGAAAGAGGACATGCCTGCATTTTAGATGGAAAATGTTTTGTAGTGGCGCATCTACGTACAACACGTTGAACTGTAATATTGCACTGGTCGGGTCGAGTCAGTAAATCGAATACGCTATATAATATTCCTGGTGGGTGTAATACATCCATAATTTTCGATTTTATGTTCCATCATCGTTACATAATTTTATTTTGTGAACGTAGCATGGTTTTATTAAAAATCGTGGATGTGTTACCCGCCGGAAATATCAATAGCTATATAGTTCAACGTACATGTACGTTTTGTGCACCTTGACTCAATAAACGAGTTCTATTTAAATAAGGACGTATCCACTCACTTCTCTGTAATGATACATACCTTAGTTCATATTTCAATTTTACTAAATGTGTGACTTTTTAATTTTAATTTAAATCAAACTTAGCGAGCAATGTTCAAATTTCGATTTGCAGAAGGTGCAGTCGGTATTGATGAAGGTATGGCTAATCATATTGTTGTGATAAGTCTTGAAATACACGTATGTCGTAATTTGAGGTTAGAGCGTTATTATAAAATTGTTTTCCCGCGAATATTCAATACACATCTTTCAATGCTCACGAAGCATACACGCGCAAAGAAGTTATTTATTTGAATAATTTTGGCAGATAGCGAACAAAAGGATAAATTAGAATGGATTTCTGCTTCCAAACTCGAAGTAACTCCCGAACAAATCAAAGCGAAATATGAGGCTTATTATTATACAGAGGCCGAAGTGTTTTCTGGTTGTAATCTAAAACTAATCCGTTCCGATAAAGTAACACAGGATTTAACTGATCAACATTGTCAGAATATTATTGAGGCCGAGTCGAAACATTCCGATCTCATTCCAGCAAAATACGAAGGTGATTTTTGCAAATAAAAATTTCTTTTTAAAGTTTTTTTCCCTTAAATTTGCTAATAATTTAAATTTTATTCGAATCTTTTAAAGTTTCGTTAATATACGTTTTAAAAATTAATTATGCAATTAAGGTGGTTTAAAAATCTGGGAATGTACATTCGATTTGGGCCAATACATATTGGAAAAGGAAATTGAGTTGAAAGACAAACTTGTTATGGATTTAGGCTGTGGCGCTGGAGTAATTGGCCTTTTGTCTCTTCGTAAAAATGCTACTGTTCATTTTCAAGATTATGTTCGTATGATTTTTAATTGGCACGTTGAAAAGCGGTTCGTGATTAACGAAATAATTTTTTGTAGAATGCCGAAGTGCTAAAGTCCGTGACTATACCGAACGTAGTATTGAATTTTTATGGTACGATTATAACGACAAAATGCGAATTTTATGCCGGGGATTGGGCTTCTCTTGCGACGTTACTTGACGAAAGTAAAAAGTATGATTATATCTTCACGAGCGAAACGATTTACAATCCTGACAATCATAAAAAATTATATAAAATTTTTAAGAGAAGGTTAAAAGCCGATGGCGTTGTGTAAGTAAATTGGATTGTTGAGGTCTTATTATTATTATCATTAAAACTTAAGTTTGGAAACGGATAATTTCTATTAGATTTGTCGCTGGAAAAACCTATTATTTTGGCGTGGGTGGTGGAATGAGACAATTTGAGAATCTCATTTTAAAGGACGGATGCTTCGATGTCAAATCAGTGTGGAGAAGTCAAGATGGTGATTAATGATTAATTGTAAATATATTTTCTTTTTGTTAGTTCAACGATATAAACTGTATACATTTCAGGAGTAAACAGAGAAATTCTGAAACTCACAAGAAAATGGCATCAAGAACAATATACATCTAGTGTATAACATTATTGTCTTCATAATACTATGAGGTATCGGCTCGGAATATTACACTAATCAGCAATGGTAATAGGTACTTCTGCAACGAGATTTGCTCGGAATTTCTTTTTTGTACATGAAAATCGTTAGCTTTCTTATTCGTTTATTATCAATAAATATTCGATCTTTTTTATGGCGAGAGTCTTTCGTATACCCATCCATCTTCTCCCTTGTGCACGAGAACATTATCTATCTTTTCATTCGATTTTGGGCGTCTAAAACGGATTCTATCGTGAAGACGATCGCTCTGACCTTGCCAAAATTCTATGGAGTGTGGCACGACGAAATAACCGCCCCTGAAATAAGATACCTGATATAATAAACGACTCAAATTTGAAAATTATACACGTAGCACATAGATGCACGACACTATTAATTTCACGAGTCTGTCAGCGATAACAAATGTATTAGTGTTGTGAAACGAAACGATACATATATGATATGCCATCACCACATGACTACTTTTTTTTCTTTGTTTTTATGTTTCTCGTGTAAAAAATCTTTATATTTCAAATAGTTAATTCGAAAAACTAATTAATGCTTACGCACTCGTTCTTTAATTTGATAATGTACTACTCATTGCAATAAACACCAACTAGCAGTGGCGTGAGAGAGACATTAATATTATAATTTTATACTAAATAGTGTAAATATAACATATGTACATAATAGTTGTTGAGCTTGAAATTGTGGCACTGATGTTATGTTACTGTTAGTTGGTGTTTACTGAATAATGAGATGTACTATATATAATTATTTTTTAATTATGGTGATACCTACCAACAAGCAGGTCTCTTAACTTGATTCTTTGAAAATTTCGCGAGCAGTTCCGATTCTTTAATAATAAGGGTCTGTCTACTAGCGATCACACTGCTCTGCTTACTGGCCGCAGATCCGATTTGATTCTCATATGGCCGACATTGAAAATAATGATCTGAATCTTCCGCCGAGGTTTTGTTAGCGATACCTTCGATACGTACCTAAAATAATTATTAGTAAATTAATAAAATGATTATGATGGAAGAGAATTAATTAAATGCTATTGTAAAAAATAATTCTAACTCGCGAAAATTTTTTTACTATTCATGAGATAATATATGATTTAATAATAAAAAACAATGCACCGTACACTTCGTCTAAGAGATTCCCAGTAGAAAGTTAATGCAACATGCGGGTTTTCAGCCTGTAAATAATATAGAATTTGTTTGTGTCTTCTTGGTATCAAAAAATATCAATTAAATATTAAAAAATGTTTGAATTAAGTATCTGAACTCACTAATTCGCGGCCTTTTCTGCTGTCGTAATTCGTGTAAAACTTGAAACCTTCTGTGCCGAAGCCTTTTAGCAACAAGACACGTACGGATGGTACACCATCTCTGAAACAATTGCATCATAAAACGTGGCAATGTGTTGATAATTTTTTGCGCAATTCTTTTGTGGTTTATTAGCTTATTTTTCTTTTTCTTTTTTTTTTTATGCGATTAATATTTTTATTAATTAACAAATTGAAAAACACTACTAATTATACTCATGTAAATACTTTGTCTTTTTCAGTAACATGTATGGCTACTTATATTCAATTTTATTACGAAATCATTTTTAAATTAAAAAAAGAAAAAATATTGCCTTGTTGCTGTCGCGAGATGCATCGCGTTAGGCTCCAAAATTTCCGGGATATTGCACGCCTCCTCAAACCATGCTTTGAACTGTCCAATAGGTTCCTTGCTAATTAAATCATTCTCCGTGAAGGTATCATGTTTATTTTTATATTTTATTCGCATGTCTGTAGAAAAAATAATATGAAAGTTAAAGATAAGTACGTTAATAAACTTTTCAAATAAAAAAACATTTTTTAATTAATAATATTGAGAGAAGGCTCGACAATAATGTATAAAAATTAAATTGGTGTAACGGGTAATGAGCCAAAATAAAAACAATACAATTCAAAGGAACAAAGACAATACAACAACATTAAGAATAAATAAGTAAAACATAAGAAAAACAAACGTTTCGACACCGATCGGGTCATTTTCAATGTTAACAAAATTTCAAATATTAATGAGATTTTTACAATAAAAAATTCTTAAACATTATGTGCAATATGTCCGGATACTTGAAAAAATTGTAGTCAATCATCGAAGTCGTCGGATAAAAATTGTGTCTATTATTTAAAATTTGTTAGTTAGTCAGATATGTTGTAATAAAAAACGGTGTTACAATAACCAAAATTATCTAAAAATTGTTGCATTATAAATCAAATAACAGTGAAGTTAAAAACACGTTCGTTGCTATGTATAATAATTGAAATAAATACCTTGTCGAAAGAAGAAATATCTTAAAAATCGAATGGAGCAAATTTGCACAGAATTGATAGACGATGTTTATTGTATCAAATACCTCAGCACAATGGTAACAAGGAATAAGGAAACCGAAAGTTCGCTATAACTGGAAGGGAAATGTATAGCGACTAGGAAGGGGAAAGAGACCGTATTATGTTGGAATATGACTCTGGCAAAGAATCCGCATCATTTTGTTTATTTATAGAATTTTTGTCTCTTAATATGCACCATTTCCGAAATCAATCTTTTACTATAGGAAGGTTCTACATCTAAAATTTTTACATTCTCCCAATCAAAATTATGGTTCTTTTCAATACGATGATTTGAGATGGCAGAAGGAGATTTCACTTTTTTATTTTTAAATTTTGAAGTATTTTTGAATATTCCTTTGTTTGTTATTTTTTGTTAATAATTTTACATTAATTATAGATGTATGATTAATTATTAATTATAAAAAGTGTTCCGTAATACATACAATACTAGAGAAAATAAGATCTCACAAAAATTAATTTCGATGGTAAGAAAAATACGGCTAATGAACAGCAAACTTAAATATTTATCAGGGGAAATCAGCAAGTAAAATGAATTTATTTATTCCTTATATACAACACACATTAGCAAAATGTATATGTAACATTATATCTAGTTTGGCTTCTGAAGGTTTTTGCTGCTGTCGAAGTCATGTATGCACCGTTTTCTAAACTCCAAGATAATTGAAAGATAATGCTTTTGAGATTTTATAGGTTTTTCAAAGATATGACAATGTTTGCGGGTTATCGTTGTGTCTTTATCCATTGCCAACGTTTCGTCACCTTACTGTTTCACTTCATCAAGACGAGCGCACTGATACTGTTTATCTTTTTATAATTCTTAGAATTAAAAAGAGATAAAAACAGTAAATTAAACTGAGATTAAAGTTAATCTTACATTGGTGGAACCGAACCTTAATGGTCTAAAACATTAGAGACTTGTCTAATTTTAACTCTGAAACTAAAACGTAGCCATTGACTAAAAAAAAGGCTACGTGGTTAAAAAATTTCGGGGACTACAGTGTTAATACATGTCTGAGCGATGTTTATCAACACTTTACACTTTCTAAGATTTCATTGAATTTTTTGTGTTGACTTGCGTTTTGGCTTCAGAGCTAAAGTTAAACAAGCTTGATCTAAACAAATGGAAATTGAAAGTAACAAACTCGAGTACTATAAGAACTAGATATGGAAAGAGTTCAATTTTTTAAAGGTAATGCCCGTTTCTTGATTTAACATGCTCTTTATCTTTTTTAATCCTTAGAACTAGACAAATTATAGTTAAACCGAAAATAAAGTTTATCTACATTCATGGAAGTTTAGAAAGCAGTGTATGTAGATTCTCTCAAGAACAGCCAAAAACTTTCTTCACAAATAGAATCAGAAGGTTAAACCGTGTATAGACTGTAAAGTGTAACTTTTTGCGATTAAAAAATTTTTAATTTTTTTATTTTTCAATCAATTCTATATTGCAAAAATTTCGTAAACTATAAAAAATTGATAATGAAACGATTTGCATTGAAAATTATAAATAATATTTAAAAAATATAATAAATATATAAAATTAAAAAATTAAAAAATATTTTTCTACTTAATTGTAACTTTTTGTAACATAATATCAATGATAAAATGCACTGTTTAAAATCTAAATACAAAAAACGTTTAATTAAAACCCATTTATGCAAAACTATAAAAAGATGTCATTTTTGCATTATTTAATAACAAAACTTTTTAGATAGCCAATATTTGAACTATTTTTTCTTTTGTAACTTGAAATGTTAATTTCAAGTATTAAAACATATATTTTTTTTAAATATTTTTGTTTCAGAATTTTATATTTTTATATGAAAAAGTAAATTTTTTTATTTTGTTGACTATAATTATTATATTTATATACAATTTTTTATGAATATACAACTTTATAAATGTTTTCTATAGATATCAAAATATTTGTAAGAATCACATGTAGTAAAAGTATCAAAAACCATATTAAAGGTTAATAATAATAAGAAAGTGTAAAGCCTAATCAAGTCTTGAAAACAAGATGTTGATGTTTATTAACATACGAGTCAATTACTATTATCTTTCATTATAATAATAAGAGAAAAACGTTAAAAAGTATATGTATATGCTTTAAAGAATACGATCTAGAACAAAATCAAAAATGCACAAAATTTTTTTTTACACACGAGGTTTTATTGTGGAGAATTTAATTCGAAAAATCATGATTGAAATATATAATTAAGTAAATAATTAAAAAAATCTTAATTAAAATATATAATTATTATCTATGTAATAATGTTTGGAATTATTTAACCTTCCGACAATTTTATACATATAATATTTACTACAATACACAAGACAAATATTAGTTTATTACATAATATTATACAAAATTGGCAGCTCTATATAAGTGGCAGTTATTTATTAATTTACCTCCAATGTCAACGGTGTAATTTTCACTCCGGAGCGCCATGATGCACGATCGTGTACCCGACCGACCCGACTGCCTGGCGATAGAACAGATGAGCGATCTAGCACGAAGGAAGTGCGACTGGTGCAAAACGCGCATGTATAGAACGCGCCGCCACCGAATCAATACACGAGTGGAAAAAGA